GAATGCCGAAGAAAACAAAAAAGTCTTCACCCGCCAGTGGAAGACGGCAACAAAAGTGGATAGACGAATCTCCCTGGAGCGAGAGATCCAGAGTTTGGGGGCCACAACCGAGAAGGCCCTTTCCCAGGTTGCTGCCTGCCTAATCTCAGAGGGGGGCGGGACACCCAAAGATGACCGTATTGGTCAGGCAGTATTCTTCGGTGTGCAGACCTGCCAAAGTTGATGGCGGTTTTATTCACAGGCTTGGCGTCGACAGACTGCAGAACAGGTTGATATCGCTTAGGCAGATTCTGGGAATAACGCCGGAGGGGCAGCCACTTTCATCTGTCTCAGCAAAAAAGAGAAGGGTGCTTTCCTACCCACCTTGCTGTACTGAGTGTCCGAACTCCAGAGGTAGGGGCACGGCCCCATGCAGAAGTTGGCGTAATAGCCGCTGGGCTTGTGGATCCACTTCCAGTTCAGATCCTTGCGGAAGTCGATGTAGAGGGGCTGCACGCAACAGTTCTTCTCGGCCAAACTAGAAAAGAAGACCCCCAAAGGAGTTGGAGAGCAAACCACTACGTCCTTTCCCCTGGTACCAACTGTTCCCTAATTTACTCTCTTACAGCCTGGCAGAGAAGACCTGGAGTGTGGGGGTGTCATGATCTGGGCTGTGCGAGCAAGGCCTAGTAGGCCCAGGGAGCCTGGCTAGCAATAGGGGAGGCTGGGCCTACAAACCCCAGAAGGCCTTGGGAAGTTTTGGCGCCAATTTTGGCCAATAAGGAAGAAAAGGGCTGGGGAATAAAAGAACTGGTGCAAGAGGAGAAGCTGTTCTTCTTCCCAAGGAATAGGGCCAGAAGGAAGGCTGCTGTGGGGAAGAGACCCTCATCTTGAGGGAAGGATGAGTAGTCTAAGGCCACTTGAGATAGTGAGCTAGGGACAGTATATTTAGACGCGTTAAGGCATTTGATTTCTTTTCACCCACTTACTGCTATTATCCCTGCACCTTGTTTGTTTGACCTCCTATAAAATAAACCGTTTTCATTGTTCGCTCTGCCTGGTCCTCACGCTCACTTCGGCTAAAAGGGAGGTCTAAAGGCTTGGGAGGGTGCTCTGGGCCTTCTCAGAGGAGCCTGGAACCAGAGTGGTGGCAGCATCAGGTGACACCCCACTTCAGCCGTGACAGGGGGATAGCCTCCCCGCACTCAGAACTCGCTAGGACCACGCCCCAATCTCCTGCTCGTGGTGGGACAGAATCTAGGCGATCCCGGCTTCTGACTACACTGACTACAGTCACTGACTTGAACGGCAGCTCCGGTGCTGTGTGCACTGCCAACTCCACGGGGAGTCAACAGAGCAGGGAGGGCAGGATGGTCATTTTGGGGAGTGGTCCCTCTTGTCCTGTAGCAGAACGCATCCTTTGGTCCCAGGTTCAATCCAAGGCATCTCCGGGTAAACGATCTCAACTGGCAAGGGCTGGGGAAGACCTTTCTCTGCCTGAGATCCTCAAGAGCCGCTGCCGGTCAGAGCAGGCAATACCGAGAACGCAAGTCTTAAGTTTTATACACTTAAGCAATGCAGTGAGGGCCAGGGCGATGGTTCAGTGGTAGAGCGCATGCTTTGCACACAGCAGGTCTTGGGGAAAGGAGCCCACGAAAGACCGTCCTCTGCCTGAGACGCTGCCAGTCAGAGCGGGCGACTCTGAGCCAGACGGACTATGACAGCTTTCTCCCGGAGTAAAACTGCTGCTCTTCGAGAGTTGCAGGGATTACACTGATGACATGGACTCCCTTCTTGCCTCCCTCCTGCCTCGGTACTCACTCGCTGCAATACTGGATACCGGGTGTGGCTCGCTTACGCCGGCGGCTTTGGAGCTGGTCAGCACGCTCAGGTGGCATCGCCATCACCAGCAGGTAGGGCACCTTCTGCATGTGGCTCAGGCCCTGCTGGTCCCCCCGCTTTGATTTGGTGCCTGGAAAGCAACAAGCATGGGGCAGGTAATTAGCGCCTGGTACTCCCACACCCCCAATTGCTAGCCGATAGAAACTGGACAAGGGCGAGAAGATCACCTTTCCTGGTATCTGCTGCAGTGTCGGTGAGGGGATTCCAACCAGACCTGTAGCTACGGTGGGGCTTTTGAGGGCTCTGCCCCCTTTCTTACGGTGGGGCTTTTGTGGGGGGCTCCGCTCCCTTTCTTAAAGGCACAGCCCCACAAGAATTTCTCCTGTAAATGCTTTTTCCCCCTGAATCATTTTTAAACATTTTTTTAAAAAAGGTGTGCACTCCTTTAAGCAGAGTGGGGTGCTGTAGTTGACTAATTCCAGCACTGAGCAAGGGGGTTGGAGTAGGTGACCTCTAGGGTCCCTTCTAACTCTGTGTCAAGGAACTGGTCTCCTTTAAGAGAGCTTTTCTGCCGAAGTGTTAGCTTTCTTGACTATAGAAGTCATCACCCCCAGCTGCCGGCTTGTTATCAGAATTTGTGCTTAGGCTGGCAGAAGTGATTAACTTGCAGCAGCTGAGAACTGTCATCTAAACTGGTTGACAGCTTGCAATTTAGACATCTACCCCTCCCCCCCAGCCTGCTATTGTCACACTCTGGGGGTAACTTTGCAGAAGCCTCTGTGCTTTGATTTTAAAAGGCTTGATTCCACAGTAGCTGAGTCATAATCCTTAGAGTTCTGGCTTTTCTTTCTGCACTGAGAATTTCAGCCCCACCAGAAAAAAAACTTGCCCCACAAGCCACAAAATCCTGGCTACGGGCCTGATTCCAACCCCTTCTTCCCTCTCCAATATTGTGGCACAGATTTAGATGCTTTTGCTGCACCATAAAGATAACATCTGTGAAATGAAATCAATGGGACCGATGCATTTTAGCTGTGCAGTGAGGGACATGTCTACACGACAGTCTTAAGTAACACTTTAACAGATGCAGTTTCCCCCCTCCTGAAGGATCCTGATATTTGTAGTTTGGTGAGGAAGAGAGACGTCTTCAAGGGATCACTCGCTAGGGTTTTTATTATGAGCTGTGATCTGGATTGTGTAGGCCGATGTGTGTGTTTGTGGGGGGGGGAGGTTCGTCCCAACCTGTGTTTCAAAAGTGGGTCAGATTATCCGACCTCTTAATTTCTCTCAATCCCGCAATCTGTCATTTGGCCGAGTATTAGCATCCAAGAGCACACTGCTCGGGGCAGGAGCGAACATGTTTCAGCTACCGAAAGCCTGAAATATGTTTTGAAGCGAAGCGTCTGGAGTCTTAAGAGGGGAGTGCCGGCCACCAGACTCCATGGAATCGGCATGTTCACGACACGGTTACCAACCCCCCTTCTCTCTCTCGCGAGCCTATTTTTAGCGGACGGATCTCGGCGAGTGCGCCGGTGTGGGGAGGGATTAATGTCGCCCCACTCCGACTTTCCCATAATATGGGTCACATGGGGTGCTGTAATAGAGGGTTACTGGAATTGGCCCCGTTCTCCTCCCCCCCCTTCCCACATCCACATGGTCGAAAGAACGACAGGCATGCCTGTGTGACGGGAGAAGTTTCCTCATCTTTGTCCTCAGGAACAGGCAAGTCCCGTCCTGAAGGCGGGATCTGCCAAGACGCCACTTGCCAACTGTCGACACTTCGTTCTTACGGGCAACGAAGGAGAGGTGTACGGGCAGGGGGCTGAACTAGGCCTCACGGAGGCCGTCCTGAATCTGGGCCGAGAAGGTCTCTGCTCCAGCCCCGGATCTCTGATGGTTTGTTACCGATAACAGAGATCTCATATTGCCTGCTGATCGCAGAGGCTGAAATCACACAGGTTTCTCCCCTACGTCTGAACACATACAGACCCGGCGAGTTCTCTTGGCTAGAACGGGGGTCCCCGACGTGCCGCCTTTCCTGGTGTTCTTAGAAACCGGGTAGGGCCAGGTAGGTCTTTTCCCCAGCAGGTCTTCTGATTGGCCCCTGGAGATTCGTTTGGCTGTTTTAAAAATTCGTTTTAAAAACGTTGCTTTGGGGGCAGCGGCCAGCGCAGCACAGCGGTCTTCACCAAGTGACTGAAGGTAAGTTGTGGCAGCCATTTTGTGGCTGGCTCCGCCTCCCGCGGCAGCCATTTTGTGGCAGCCAATTTGTAGCAGTGCCTGTCATATTGTGTCAGAATTCCAAATGGGCCCAGTGGCTCAAAAAGGACGGGGACCTCTGGGCCTCCATGTTCAAGCCCCGGATTCCCTCGTCGCCTCAGGTGAACTAAGTCTTTCAGAGGCCCCTAGCAAATTTAAGCCTCTACACCTTTCCTAGCCTCTGCCACAGGTGCGATGGGTCAGCCTTGGTCACGACTCTCGGCCTGCCCTGCTACAAATCCGCAGAAACGAAGCGAACTCGGGACGATCCTTGCATGGGGAAGATGGGTTGCAACGCCGTTTGGATACAGTGCAAGAGACCAGAAGGGCAGCTGAAGATGCTGCCACGGGACCTGCCGCCACGGAAAGTTCCGGGGCCAAGAGTCGCAGGAATCGCTAATGCCCTTTGAACGCAAGTCAGCAGATCTGAGATGCCATTAAAAGCAGCGAGAAGAGAGGATGCAGAGAGATCCGACCTACAGAGCCAGTTTGGGGACAAGCTCTCTGCACCAAGGTCACCAAAATTGAATACAAATTGGACGAGATCACAACTGGGGGTGCATCGAAGGATAGAGCCGATGTTATTGGCACTTCCGCCCTCGCCGAGGCCCAGATTTGGCCCCCGCTTAAAAGAAATCAGGACACTAGCTTGTCTCTCCGATAGGCAAGAAGTTACCCAGGGTTTCTTGGCCCGTTCCAAAAAACCGCCAGAATTTTTACCTTCAATGTCCACTTTCAGTTCTTCAGAGGTTTTTCCACAGGAACACTGCAAACTGAGGCGGAATCGGCCTATGGTGTCTACAACACAAACACAAGTATTATGTGAGCCCTGAGCCAGGGGTGAGCGGGGGATTCGAACACACAACCCCACAGTCACGTGCCTAACGGAAGCCACCCCACGAAGAGAAAAGGTGACGTTTTAAGAGGAGCGCGGTAATTCCTGGTGTGCCCAGATGAACCTTTCTGGGGGATAGTTTTAAGGGGTGGGGGAGATCCCAAACAGTTCTGCAAATCTGGGTTGCACGCAACACGTCTGTTGGCTCCAGAAGGTCTCCTGCCTCCAAAACCTCAAAAACTTAACAAATAAAGGCGATGAATAAGACGTTTAAACTTTGGCGCCTTTAGAAATCACAGGAAGGGTGGCCAGTCTTGCCGAGGCGTTAAGGAAAAAGGAGGGAAGAGGAGAGGTCAAACCATTGTTTGATTCGCTGGCCAGCATGTCAGTCATTTCTACAGCAAAGGAGGGCGGAAGCCAGGCTCAAGCAAGCAGTGAGGGACGCGAGTGCGAATTCTCTAAATATGAAAAATCCTCTCTTGCCCCGAAGTTGGGAAGCTTCAGTTTCCCAGCTTTTTCCTTCGCTGCCCGTGCTCGTGCCAATTATCACAACCTGCACTACCCTTTGGCATTAAAGTGGCATGAATGCCAGGCCGTCTCCAGAGCCAGTTCCTTATGCTTTGGAAATTACAGGCTCATGACTTGGCCCTGGCCTTCCTCTTTTCCCTGTTGCCTCCAACCCCGGTAACCTCGGCAGGAGCTGAGAGGGGCGTGCCGCACGCCTGACGCATCCGAACGGTGCTCCGTTTGATTCACCTCTTCCAAAACACCAAGTGGCAACGGGCCCAGGGTGCGGCCTGCCGACTCAGCAGCTTGCAGCAATTGTGTTTTCCGCCTTTATCTCCCGCCTCGGGCCCAAGCCGAACCTGGGAGAGGTTGCCCTACATTTCTGAGTCCCGAAGCTATAAGCGTTGCGACGTTTCTTCAGAAGAAATCTGCCGCACGTGGCGCTATCGTGCGCCAGTGGGAGCAACTCCTACAACTGAACGAGGTGGCAAAATGGAATGCATTCACCTCCCATCAGCAGGCAGGGGAGATTCCATCCCCCCCCCCGAATGACATAAAAAAAGCTCCCCCCGCAAGCAGAAAGCTAGCTCTGTAGGGAGAAAGATTCTAACCCTCCCTGTTCCCTGCCAGGCTCGTGTTCTAGCTCAGCCCTCGGATTAAACGTAGACTCATGGAATCATAGAGTTGGAAGGGACCTCCAGGGTCATCTAATCCAACCCCCTGCACGATGCAGGAAATCCACAACTACCTCCCCCTCCACACTCCTAGTGACCCCTGCTCCACACCTAGAAGATGACAAAAAAACCTCCAGGATCCCCGGTCAGACTGGCCTGGAGATATATTGCTCCCTGACCCCAAAGCGGCGATCAACATGAAGCTGCTTTACCCGGAGTCAGACTCTTGGTCTAGCACGATCAGTCTTGTCTACTCGGACAGATGCATCTGGACACATGAACACGCATGGAGCTGCCTTTTACAGAATCAGACCCTTGGTCCATCAAGGTCAGTATTGTCTAGTCAGGCTGACAGCAGCTCTCTTGGGTCTCAGGTAAAGATCCTTCACATCGCCTGCCACCTGGTCCTTTTAACTGGAGATGCCGGGGATTGAACCTGGGACCTTCTGCACGCCGAGCAGACACTCTGCCACTGAGCTACAGCCCCACTTCATGGCTCTCCAGGGTCCCAGGCAGAGGTCCTTTCCATCACCTCCTGCTTGTTCCTTTTAACTGGAGATGCCGGGGATTGAACCTGGGACCTTCTGCACGCCAAGCAGACGCTCTGCCACTGAGCTACAGCCCCACTTCATGGCTCCCCAGGGTCCCAGGCAGAGGTCCTTTCCATCACCTCCTGCCTGGTCCTTTTAACTGGAGATGCCGGGGATCGAACCTGGGACCTTCTGCACGCCGAGCAGAGGCTCTGCCATGGAACCAGATTCATGGTGGCTGCAATTTTCACGAGCCACACCCACTTCCTCAGATGCACAGTGTTCTCCATTCCAGAATGGTCCCTTTGTAAGAACCTATCCCCCCTCACCACCCTCCTCCCTCAATCTTCAGCTTGTAATCATGCATATAGATTTCTGACATGGTCCACACATCTGATGAAGTGGGGCACCTATCTATCCATTTTTAAACCCTGCCTTTCCTCCGAGAAGCTCAGCGCAGCATACACGGTTCTCTTCCTGCCAGTATTGCCCCCCACAACTACCCTGCGAGCTAGGTGCAGCTAAGAGACAGGGAGAATGGCTGGCTCACACGAGCTTCACGGCGGGGGAGGGACTCGAACCCAGGTCTCATAGGTCTTAGTTCAACATGCTGCCCTGGCTGTGGTTAATGAACGCTCCTTCTGGGATTGGTGTGTTCGCTTTTTAACTGGCCTGTGCAGCTCTCTGGAACTACTCCGCATCGCCCATTCTGTTTGGAGAACTTTAAAAAATTCACTTTATTCATATCCCGCCTCTCTCCCCAATGGGCTCTCGAAGCGGCTTACATCCTTCTCCATTTTATCCTCACAACAACCCTGTGAGGTAGGTTAGGCCGAGCATGTGTGACTGGCCCAAGGTCACCCAGCGAGATTCCATGGCAGAGTGGGGATTCGAACTTGGGGCTCCCGGACCCTAGCTACACCACGCTGCCTCTCCTTCCCAATGCAGAGGTATTATTAATGTTGTCTTGAGCCAAGTACTCAAACATCTGGAGTGCCGTAATCTCTCTTTCTAGCAGTCCTACTCTTGGGGGGTGGGGTTTCCCTCACCACCTGTTCCGTGCCTCTTAAACTCTCCAGTGCTGCTGAGCCAGATCCGGAGGGCGGTGGTGACATCAAAGGAAAGCCACTCTTTCTCAGGTGTCACCCTGACCATGCGCCCATCCAGGTATTCCCAGAAGGAGTCGTTGGTAGACAGCTGCTGATTAGGGTGGGGGAGGGGAAGTCAGTGAAAGAGGTGGCCTCCATTTCCAACCCATCATATATGCCTGGAACTGTCCCTCTGTTGTGATTCCAGACATAATACATTATTTTGTCCCCAAAAGACTTAACTCTGCATTTTGTTTCCAAGATTTAACTCTGCATTTTGTCTCCAGGACTTAACTCTGCATTTTGTCCCCAAAAGACTTAACTCTGCATTTTGTTTCCAAGATTTAACTCTGCATTTTGTCTCCAGGACTTAACTCTGCATTTTGTCCCCAAAAGCCTTAACTCTGCATTTTGTCTCCAAGACTTAAGTCTGCATTTTGTCCCCAAAAGCCTTAACTCTGCATTTTGTCTCCAAGACTTAA